TCCATCATTATGTCATGCCTGTCCCCAACGCAGCCCCATAGCAGCAGGTCCAGGTTCCTAGAAGGTAGAGTCACTGTGCTGATTTTGGGTAACAGGCCTGACAGTCTGCGACACTAACTGGTTTTCAACAAGCGTTGATGTCATAACTGTTCAAAATAGACACCTTCTTGGAAGACTTAATGGTCTTGTTCAGATGAAAACCACAGTGGGAAAAACAGACTACTTTTCTCAGAAAACTGTCTCAACAAGAAAAACTCCACAGTTGAGTGTGTTCAACTTGTCTCAATCTGGAAAGTACTTTGCATTCAGTGAGGGTTAAGTTCACTAAGATTGTCTTTCTGAACTTGAGAAATCCTATGAAATATGTTTAGATGTTTTTGCTTTATTTTTTCATTTATTATTATCATTATTATTATTATTATTATTATTATATTATTATTATTTAATGCTTGTTGGTAACTGGGGAACTGAATCAAGTTGCTGGCAGGCCATAGACATTTGACACAGGAATGTCAGAGCCTGCACTTGCACAATGGAGATTTGCAGTCACTAAGCTCTCCAAATTCAAGCGATTTGGGGGCTAACTGGAAATATATGCACTTTCAATAGTAAATGGATTTTGTATGCTCTTTAAACTTCTGAACTGTCAGCTTGAGTTGTATTTTCTGGGCTAACTAAGGCCCCATTCAAGGATGGGCAAAGCTGAATCACATCGGAGAGGGACTTAATACAGAGCAAAGATGGTATTCATCAGGATGAACCTTGGATAGGAGAAAACATGCATGCAAATAAAGGATGAACTTATGGCATTAAGATGATTGCAGCCCTGATTGCTGTAGCCTGCTTACTGATTACAACATAATTTCAAGGTGATTTCCTTCTTTTTAGCTACGGAAAATAATTAGTAGTGAAGGTGTTAAATAGATGCTGGCACCAGCATCATTTTTCATCATCTTCTCATTTTGACACATGAGATCTCTAGAGGTACTGACTTGGTCAGGGTCATAGCCATTGTTCTCAGAGCTGGAGCCATAACTACCTAGCAACCTTCTGACATTCAAAGTAGATGGTTTGTGTTCCGCCAGACTTCATTATCTGTAAAGACTCTGCCTTCATTATCCCACTCCCAGCATTTTTGATTCAGGCCAACATACAACCAGGAAGTTCAATGTAATGTAAAACACAAGGGGACACAGGAACTAGCTGGCAAGTCAGGCCCACACCACCAATCTGGCAAGGCAAACTTCAACTGAAAACAAAGACATAATTGGCCACACGTGGGCAGTGAACAAGGAGAAGGGAAAAGAGGAGGATCTGGATCTGGATGGAACTGGTTTAGTTCCTGGCTGGCTCTGTAGTTCTTGGAGGAGGGATGTTACTTCATCTGGGAGAACAGAGGGAATAAAGTTTGTCTGGCGGGCGTCTTGAATGATTGACTTCATCGATAGCATTAATTGACCCGCCACACTTTGAAGTCAGGCTCGTGAAACACCAGCAGTTGGAAATTAACACTAGTCTTCTCTCAGTTGGAGAGCCCAAAGCCCAGAGAGATCAATAATCTCTCCAAGGTCACATACTGAACAAGCTGTGACTTGGGATTTGGAAAGAAATCACTTGGCACCGAGGCCATAGGCTTAAGCACTGCAGTTTTCTCATGACTGATAACAACAAAAGCCAAGAGCCCAGCATGCTGCCTGGTTCTATAGAGATACTGAGTCATCAGAATCAGAAAGCCAGCCCTTCCCTGTACCCAACCAGGAGAAGAGTGAGGGAGTGGCTCACGGGGACATGTGGATAGAAAGCCCCAGGAGGGTGAACAGACATACAGGGTCAGCAAAGCTCTGCTTTGGCTGGTAGCACTTGAGAAGGGACATCTGACTGTCAGGTGCCAGAGGGAAGAGGGGTTCCAGGCCCTGGGTCTCCCCTCTCTGCCCATGCTTCTCCTTCTATGCCCTCTCTGTCCTTTTTCTTTCACTCACACTACTCATCATACCTCTCTTCTCATGTCACCACCATGCCCACACATGTTTCAATGCTTTAAAGTCAGCATCGTGACCCTAAAATGACCCCTTTTGTATTCATGGATAGAAGTATCATCTTCCTCACCCACTACTGGGGCTCCTGAAAGGCTGGGGTTTTTAGCCACCACATTCTCACCATTAAGTTGTACATTGATGCTTACATGGGTATTGTTGAGTGTTATTAGAAATAGTCAGCAAGCCAAATGATCAAAATGTTATCATCCATTAAGCCCTCTCCCCCTCCCGCCACATGACACACAGTCAGAGTACTAATGAAGGCCTAATGAAAAATCCAGAGTTTTGGCTGAATACTCTTGGTACCAGGCTTGGCAAGAGAATCCCAACATGCAAAAGTACCTAACAGCCACCCTTCAGGTGGGTTGAAGAAACAGGTATGGGAATTTGGATGAACTGGATGATCATGGGGGTGTTGGGGGGTGGCGGCAGTAGGGGTATTATGTGTAGAATTTAGCTGCCTAAATGTGTGTCACTCCTGGATTGGGAATGAAGAAGGGAGAGGGAGAATCCTTGAGCTTGAGTTCTCAAAACCATTTGGCAAAAGCTTTGGATTGCTAACATGGTCAGCCATACACATTTATAACAGCTTACAGCTGCTGTGGTAAAAATGCTTTTCAGTGTATATAAAATTTCTGAGATCTCTTATTTGTTCTCCTCAGGCAAGTATAATTAAGAATGCAGAGGGCCTAGTCGGAAAACATTTCATGTTTAAATGAGACTATGGCTTCCTTCAGGACTGGCAAAATGTTGAACCTCAATTCTTCTGGTGGCCACAGGGATGGTGAGGTGTATCTTTATGTACATGTATGTGGGGGATAGGTGTATGTGCATGGTTTGTACACATGTATCAGTGTGCATGCTTATGTGTGAATGTATGTGGGGGTATGTGCATGGTTTGTGCACATGTATCAGTGTGCATGCTTATGTGTGCATGTATGTGGAAGCCATGTGTCAATATCAGATTCTTCCTCCTTCATGCTTTATCTTTTCTTCCACCCCCCCCCCCAGAAATAAAGTCTCTCATTGAGCCCAGACCTCACTGATTGGCTAGGCAAGCTGGCCTGTGAACTCTGAGGATCTGCTTGTCAACATGGCCTCTCTCATCACAGGCATGCACCACCAAGCACAGGCTTTTTGTCTTGTTTTAAATTGTCTGTGTATGGGTGCTTGCTTGCATGTATGTCTGTGCATCAAGTGTGTGCCTAGTATTCATGGAGGCCAGAGAAGGGCACCAGATTCCTGGAACTGAAGTTATAGATGCTTGTGAGCCACCATGTGGGTGCCAGGAACTGAACCTGGGTCTTTCTGAAGAGCACCACTGAGACATCTCTAGCCTCCATACTCAACTTTTACATAGATGCTGGAGATCTCAACTCAGGTCCTCATGCTTGCGTGCCAATCACTTTGCCACCATCTCCCATGCCCAGCAAAGTTAATCTTTAAGTCAGTTTTTTTTTATGCTCATCAAGCCATTATGAAGATTATAATACTCAGGTTGGGGGTCCCCCAACGTTCTGAATCACGAAGAAGCTCACTCTCTTATTGGAGCTACTCACAAAATAACCATTTTATCCTAGCACATGAATGGCTTATGGGATGTTCTGACCCAGTACTGTGCCTTTTTTTACACAGCAGAAAAGCAATACACCTTTGCACAGTGTAAACTTACAGAGGAAAACACAAATAAATCCCATCCTGCCTGTGGAGTCCAAACAACCTTCCTCTCTATTCTGTATAAGCAAAGAGATCCACAAAAGTTCACATCAGAGGAAAGCAGGGGGATGCTGGTTGTCCCCAACCAGGAGGCTTAGGGGTATAGCTACCCCACTATCTCTGATCCCAGTTGTGGCCTTAAGTCTAGAGTTCTACGCAAGATAGGATCTTCCCATCCACTCACAACACGGGTGCAGCACACATTGTCCTGAAAATGAGGATATCAAATGGGGCAGTCCAACCAGAGCTTGCTCTTCAGACTGTTTCCTATGAAGCACTGAGTCTGTAGACTCTGCAATTGAATTAGAAATGGTAGATGATTCGGAAGATACCATACATCAGGTGAAGGATTTTATAGAGAATATTCAAATAGTTGTTGCTATTAACGACCACTTATAGACATTGTTAGCCAACACCCTACACCCTGCAAGGTAAGTAACAATTTTCATTTCGTAAGTGGAGAAATGGGCTTAGAGGGGCTGAGTTCCTGCATGCAGTCTTACAACCACCCTTACCTGGCCCACATCTCTGTCTTTTCAACTCATCACAATGCTTCTGCTAAGATTCTGTCTAGAAGCACACACAAGCTCGGGAATGGAACTCATACAAGCTACGCAGAGAGCTATTGCTAGCGCATTGCCTACAAGAAGGATGGGAGTATCAGGTGTCAGCCCTGCTTATGGGGACCGGGCAAGGCATCTGGCTTTCTGAATTCCATGATCCTCCCTTGTCAGATGGAAAACACAGTGACCTACTTCGCAGGCCACTGAGAAGTAACCACTACAGAGGGCTGCAAAGACAAAGCCCTTTGGTTATGAACCTAGTAAGCCATGGGTTTGTGCACTCTCTGACCCAAACCCAGAAGATGGGAAAACAGCAGGGACTCATGCCTGCCAGCTCCCCCACATGGATTCCTGTAAGTGAAAACTCTCTTTGAGGAAAACACAGGAAGATGTGTCAAGCTGCAGCTCCACAGCTCAGCCAAGCAATTTATATCCGGCATTATTAATCGCCTGCTCCTCCTGCCATTAGCCAAAACTGAAATGAAAGGAGTAGGGCTCTAATTCATTAATCTCTCTTATCATCAGGCTCATAAAACTTGGAGAGATGTTGAAATACAGGCAGTGGACAAAGGTTTTGTGAGTCTCAGCAAGTTTTACAGTCCATTGTTTCCTAGGAGAAGCGAGCAGGAGTCAAACGAAGCTCTCCTATGTCAACACTACTTAAAAATACAAACCCAGCACTCACCGTTCAGGGGTTCGACGGGCCAAGTCCAAAGTCACGGGAATGGTCGCTCTTCCTTTCAAAAACACCATATGCTCTTGGTGGATACAGAGCTCACTGGGCTGTTATTAATAACTGGCTTAGAGTGTTAGGCAGAAACATGAGCCAGTTTGTCAAGGGAGGAGGCGAGTGGAAAGGAACTGACAGACACAGGTGGGATGAACTGTAACAAAAATATGCTTACACAGAAGCTCAAATAAGCCATTAGGCAGGAATGGCTTCCTCCATCATTGCTAGCTTCCCATGTTAGCTGTCCTAAAATATTAACAGGCAGCAAGAGTCTCCAACATGCTGAGAGCACAAGGCTTGTCTGTCCCTGAACTGCCTTTTTTCTTCCACCCTCCTTTTCTGTGGGGATCTGGGTCCTTATTGTTTTAGTTTTATTTATGAGAATGTGTCTCTGAATGTGTGTAATGCCACATGCATGTGGCGGCCGCCTAAGAATGTCAGGTCTGCCACAGCTATAGGCAGAGGCGAGTGACTCAATGTGGAATCGGGAAACTCAACCCTGGTCCTCTGTGAGAGCTGAACATGTTTTAGCTGCTGAGTCATCGATCTGCTCCCTTTCTGTCATTTCATATCTTTTCATATTTATAAATTTAACTTAGCCTACTTTGATCCCCCCATTTTTCAACTTATTGAGTGGATTTTCAAATGTCTATTATTGATCTTGTGCGTATATTTGTGTTTGTGTGGGGTGTGTGTGTTAGGTATGGGTTTCATTCCTTAGACCACTGGTTCTCAACCTGTGGGTCATGATCCCACATAACCTATATTTACAATATGATTCATAACACTTGCAAAATTACAGCCATGAAGTAGCAATGAAAATAATTTTATGGTTGGGGGTCACCACAACATGTGGAACTGTATTAAAGGGTCACAGCATTAAGAAGGTTGAGAACTACTACCTTACACATTGCCCACCATTTTGAGACTAGGTTTCTCACTGACCTGGAACCTGACAAGTATTCTAGGCTAGCTAGCTATGGAGTCTCCATGATCCACCTGTCTCTGCCTCCCCAGTACTGGGAACACATGCACTGTCACCACCACCATACCTGGCTTTTTAATATGTATTGAATATGAGATTCCGGGTATGGAACCTCAGGTCCCCAGTGCTTGAACAGAAAGCCATGTCCTCAGCTCTGTTATGGATTGCTTGAAGTTTGTTTGCTCTCCCTTTAGAATCCCCAAACAATCTTAAAATCATAGTTGTTTATTGGAGAGGGAAATGGGTCTTGTGGTGACACCTAATCCCCAAAGCACCACCCAGAACTGATGTGGTAAGATGGAGAGAGTCAGGATGTGGCTTCTGGCTGGAGGGACTTTCTTCTCTTGAAAACCTACATTTCAAAATTTTCCAGATGGTCCTTCCAAGCCCCTCGCTCACACTGAACATCAAATTGTTCAGATCCTCAGGGGAGTAGCTTAGACCCAAGACCACTGACCACAGTTGTAGTCTGGAGTGTTAATGGAGAAGTGCTGTTTACCTAACAGGACTGCTGTATGGTACTGTACTGTGGCCATTGTGGGGGAGTTCTGTGGCTGATGCAAGTGTGGACCCCTGAGATGAAGAGTTCCAGTCAGTCCTTAGACCTGAATGGCAGTTATCCCACCTGTATAGTGTTTTCTGTCTTTCCCCTTTTGTGTGATGGGCATCTTACTATGTAGCCTAGGCTGATCTCAAACTCTCCATCCTCCTGCCTTAGTCTTCCAAGGGCTGGGATGACAGGCGTGTATCACCATGGACAGCCTAAAACTAAGGAAATTATTTCTTTGTGTGTACAAAGGATGGTGGTTAGGGTTGCACAATAGCTGTGCCAACCTTGAATTCATGACCCTTCTGCCTGTGTAAATTAATTCCTCTTCTTGCTGCCTGACCAATAACATCTTTCAAAAGCAACTTAAGAATAGAAGGGAGCTTTCTGGGCTCTTACTCTAAAGGTGGGTATAGTCCATCATGGAGGGAACGTCATGACCACAGGTGTGTGTGGTGGCTGGCCACACTGTGTCCAGTCCGAAAGCAGGGACAGATGCCAGCTAGCATTCCATTTCCTTCTTTTTATTCACTTCAGGACCTTGGCCCATAGACCCCTGCCACCTACATGCAAGATGTGCCTTCCCTCTGCAGTTAAGCCTCTCTGCAAACTCCCTTATAGACATACCCAGAAGTGCCTTTCCATGGCGAATCTAAATCCAACCAAGTTAAGTGACAGTTCCCAAACTTTGGGATTACAAATGTGCACCATTACATCCAGCAGGAAAGACAGAAGAATTCTAAAAGGTGATAATAGCAATTTCATCTGCAATATTCCTATACCAGTGCCAGGAAAAATCAGATCACTGTTGAAGAATACAACTATCTTTGTGTTTATTTGCAACTTCCTAAAATGAAAACAGAGATTGGAGAAGCTACACTGGTTGCTGTCTTGGGTCTGGAAAAAGCACTGAACACAGGGGTATATAACAGTTCTCAGCTTCAGTTTCAGACAGTGTCACTCAGGGTGACATTTATCCTCCCACAGCCTAATGGCAAAGACAAGAAGACAGATCCAGAGTGGCTACTTCACTCATCCAACGGCACAGGTGTCAGAGGTCACATGTTCTGGCATTTCTGGAACCAGAACTGGGAACACCAGACCCTGTTGAAATGAAAGTCTCAATACAAGCCATGCTTCATGGACAGGAACTCTCCTTTAGAGACTTAACTAGGCCAATCTAAGCTTGACAAGAACTCCATTTGTTCTCCACAAATAAACAACATGTAACTCAGGGCATAGGCGCTTACATATTCAAGGTCAAGCCTGGGTCCCTTCCCTTCCTCCAGTCTCAAAGCAGTGGGGAGGAGGAGCTCTCTGTATAAAGTGGCCCAATAATAAGAATAGCCTTTTCCTCTTTCTGAATGGTAATGAAATTTGTTCATCAACTAAGAGCTTTAGTGCCAATTTAAAGCAACCGTTTTGGCCTAAAGCACACAGAGAATATCATAAAAACAACATTTACTGTTTAATTGCTATATAAGCACATCCACTCCTTCCTGCTTGGGCTGTTCAACTTGCCTTCTCAGTAAAACATTGCTGAGGTGATGGGCTAAGCAAGGTTTTAAAAGCAAGGGAAAACAAGGATTACGTGGCAGAATGTGACTTAAGAACTTGGCTGGAAACCTGGGTACTGGTAGAATCCAAAGAAATCTTCATACTGATCTAGACTTCAGCCCCACTGCCTAACACATTCTGCCCTGTGGACAGTGAGAACATTGGGCACTTCAGGTTTCCATGCCTCAGAGTTTCTCACTTTTAGTTTCATAAGCCATTGGGTTTAAGAACCAAGATGAGCTGGGTGGTGCATTACTTTAATTTCAGCACTTGTGCGGCAGAGGCAGATGGATGTCTGTGAGTTTGAGGTCAGTCTGGTCTATACAGTGAGTTCTAGGCCAGCCAGGGCTACACAGTGAAACCCTGTTTCGAAAAAACAAAACCAACCAACCAACCAAAGAAGAATCAAGATGAAAGGTTCAGTGATCCACACAGAACAGGGGCTCAGAATGGCAAAGATAGGAGATATGCTGGCACAGGCTGGGGAGGCAGTCCATTTCATAAAGTGCTTGATGTGCGAGCGTATGGACCTGAGCTTGGATTCCCAAAATACAGAGTCAGATATGGCAGTGACTCCAATAGTCCCCTGAAAAGATGGGAGGCAGGGAAAGGAATCTGCAGGTGCTCACAGGACAGCTAGCCTGGATACACAGTGTGTGTGTGTGGGGGGGGGGGGATCAATAAAGAGACCTTGTCTTAAAGTGGAAGATTCTGATCAATATCAAACAAAGGCTGTTCCCTGACTGCCACACACATAAAGAGAGGGTTGATTTAAAGGAATATGCTATTGACACAATGTGGCCAGTTAGCAAACATTTTCATAATGTTATTCTGGATAATATGGCCTAGGGATAGTAACAAGGTGGTAGGAGATGTTACAGGTGTCTGATGTGGCCAAGAGGACACTAAGTGTACCTTGGAGCCACACCATCAGAGGGCTGACCTGTCATTCTGCATCTCACTTAGACTGTTTTGGCCCAGTGAGTGGCTAAGATCTCATTTCTGGAAGCAGAGTCTTTGGTCTTGCCAATTGATTCCAGGCAAGTCATTTGAAGTCTGTGAAACACAAGACAGAGAACAGGATGAGGAGCAGCCCACTCCATCTAGAATGTCCAACATGGGACCACTGAGAGGAAAGACCACCCACCAGAGCTCCTTCCACTGTTAACTCATGTCCCCGCCGCTATCGCACCTGGGTTCCCATCCTGGCTGAAGCACAGGCTGATGGTATTGAAAGACAAAGGCGGGCAGGGTAGAAGACTGAATGTGAAAACCACACTGTGACAAAGACACAGAGAGCGATAGGTTAGTTCTTGGTACAAGAGATACAAGAGACACTTCCCACGTGACAGCTGTCCCAGGGTCCTGAGATTCTTCTGACACATCTGTTTCCATGCTTGCTCCAAACCTGGGGCTGTGCTTGGGCTGTGAGTTTCCTCCATAAATCACTGCTACCCCTTCCCTCCACCCCATGCCTGGTCCAGCCCAGGGAAGGAATCACCAAGTACCAAAGCTTATGATGCGCCCAGACTTTGCAATACTGTGGTGTTCCACATTGTCCTCAGCAAAGTTCATGCCTGAGAACACTTCAGTGAAGTCACAAATCAAGCAGCCACTCTCCCTAATGCAAAAATCATGTTTAAATAAGTTTCAGATTCTTCTGTTGGGTTACATTCATAGCCATTCTCAGTCACGTGTGGTCATGTGGCCTGTGGGCCAAGGGATGGACATGGCTGCTGTACAGCCAAAGCCTCTACTGACCTCAAGCCCAGATGTGCTGGACAAAGGTCATGAGAGCTAACTAGGAACACAGTCATCTGGTTGTAGAACGTAGACACTTAAAATTAAATTACACAGAATCAGGATGATGTGTGTGTGTGTGTGTGTGTGTGTGTGTATTATGTATGAGATAATCTTTAATACATTTCTTTTTAAATTTTGCTTTTGTTATTATTATTTTTTTTTTTTGAGACAGTGTCTCATCTATTCCAGGCTGGCTTCATATACACTATGTAGCTGAAGATAACCTTGAACTCCCAATCTTCTGCCTCTTACTTCCAAGTGCTAGAATTGCAGGCATGGACGGGCACTTCTCGTTTATATGGTGTGGGGAGAAAGCCCAGGGCTGTGTGCAAGCTGGGCAAGTGCTCTACCACTAAGCTACAAGCCAGCTTGTCTTGCTTTTCTTATGCTCACAAGATGATTTATAGTTAACACAGCCACATGGTAAACAAAAACATGAACCCTACAGCTTGAAGTCACTTCTGATTAGAGTATTTACAATAAAGGTGACATTAGCAAGCAATACAAATCAGGGTTATTTTCATAGATGTAGGACTGTTTTTTTTTTTTAAGGATCTTTTTATTTTTTAATCATTTATTTAACGTTCATTGGTGTTTTGTCTACATGTATGTCTGTATGAGGGCCCCTGATCCGATGGAACTGGAGTCACAGACAGTTGCCAGCTGCCATGTGGGTACTGAGTCCTCTGGAAGAGCAGTCGGTGCTCTTAACCACTGAATCATCTCTCTAGCCCCTAGATGTAGGACTTTTGGTTGGTTGTTATACATGGTCTTACAGTGAAGCCCTGGCTGGCTTAGGACTATACTCCCTCTAGTGCTGGGATTAAAGGCATGTCCCAGAACATGCAGGGAAGCCAAGACTTGTCCAGGAATATTATTTTAAGGTATGCAACTTTTGTTTATCCTTAATTTGTCTAACTCTGTGAAGCTGTGATTTTTTGCCTGTCTAAAACACCTGACGGCCCTAATAAAGAGCTGAATGGCCAATAGTGAGGCAGGAGCAAGGATAGGCAGGGCTGGCAGGCAGAGAGAATAAATGGCAACAAGGAGAGGACATCAGGGGCCAGCTACCCTGGCACCACGCCAGCCACCGAATAAAAAGTAAAGTTAGACATACAGAGAAAAGATAAAAGCCCAGAGGGAAAAGGTAGAGTAGATAACTTAAGAAAAGCTGGCAAGCAACATGCCAAGCTAAGGCCGGGCACCCATAACTAAGAATAAGCCTCCATGTGTGATTTAGTTCGGAGCTGTGTGATGCAAACCTGCCCCCCCCCAAAAAAAGACTAAAGAGCCAAAAGGGTAAAAAGCATTTCTTATTATAAGTACTTTTTAAGCATGCTGTTCCTTGGATCTCTTTATGATGCTAGACTTCTGAGTCCTGCCTCTGCTAAGCCTGCTAATTCCATACCAAGAGACCCATCTTGCAGCAGAGGGTGGGTGGTATACGTCTTTAAATCCTAGCAGTCAGGAGGTGAGGCAAATGGATCTCTCTAAGTTCAAGGCTAGCCTGGTCTACAAAATGAGTTTCAGGACAGCCAAGACTACACAGATAAACTGTCTCAAAAAGCCAAAGAGACTCATCTTACAAGGAACACATTAGACCAGTAATCCTCAGTCTTCCTAATGCTGGGATCCTTGATTGCAATTCCTCACATTGTGGTGACCACCAAACATAAAATTATTTTCACTGCTAGTACCTAATTATAATTTTGCTACTGTTACGAATCATGCAAATATCAGTGTTTCCTGACAGTCATAAGTTATCCAAACAGATTATGACCCACAGGTTGAGAACCATTGTGTTAGAGGCTACTATAGCTACAAGAATTCAGGAATACTAATTCTATTTTTACAGCTAGAGGTCCACAAGGAAGATTCATTTACCATGGTCCTCTGGGTACATTTAATTTTCTTATTATTATCTGTACTTAAGTCCAGTTACTTCTGGTGTATGCCTTTCTCCAAAGCAGCTTTAATTTCTGTTCCTCTTACACACACACACACACACACACACACACACACACACACACACACACACACACCTAGCTGCACTGGACTTCCTGTATTCAACATACCTCCTTTCCAAGTAGGTCACAGACTCAAAAGCCTGCAGATCCATACAACAGTGGTGGACAGAGCAGCTCTGAAGAGACAGGTGCTTGTTGCCTTCCAGGTGTGTGATCAACCCCTCAGCCCTCGATGATTGCGAAAGGGCAGCCTTCCAGCACTTTACTTATTCAAGAGAAATCAGCAATCTATTTTTGTCCTTTAATTAAAAATGCCCCATTTAAAAATGAATTCCAATTTCCCATCAACACCTCAGGCTACATCATCGATTGTGAGATGGTTAGCCAGCCTCCCCCACCTTCCCCCTACCCTGCCCCGAGGCTATCTGACTTCACCCATGGTAACCTGTGCTATTTGCTGGAATCCCTCACCAGGCATGGGGTGGACAATCATTCACTGTCTCACAAAACTTGGCTTTTTGTCCCAGAGTCACCTTTATCCAATGGGTAACAGGAGTTGGTGGCCCAGCAGCCCCACTTTCTGTTAGGAAAACTCTGAAGCTTGTGTGAGGTTCTCCCTTAGCCATTGAAGATCAGCTCCTGCTGCCCTCACTGCCAAACAAGCAGCCGGTTCAGTTACCCAGTGCTGACTTCCCTTCCACAACAGACTCCAGTTCCAGGAGTCACTTCCAAGCTTCCTGCATCCCCAATTCTTGAAACCAGAATGGAGGCCCAATCCACCTGCTCTAAACTCTGCCTAAAAATCAATTCCTTTGAAGTCTTCTCTCTTGCTTTTTGAGAGTGGTTTCTGTGTAGCACAGGTCTGCCTCTGCCTCCCCAGTGCTAGATTAAAAAGTGTGAGATACCAACACCCTGGAAGTCTTCTCTGATCCAAAGTATAACCTTGTATTTAAAAAAAAAAAAAAAAAAAGGTGTGGGGTGAGGGTGGAGATAGGTTTTGACCCAATGGGATGGTATCAGGAATTCCTGAAGACTACATTCCTTAAGGGATCCGGCTACTGTGCACTGCCAACCCTCAGCCTTATCAAAATGCAACTGACAAGCCAAGCACCCTTCCAACACATGGATACCTGATGGGGGATGTCCTTTTGTAAATGTTTCTCTTACTAATTTAATAAAACACTGACTGGCTAGTAGTTAGGAAGTATAGGGTTAGGCTACCAGACGAGGAGAATTCGGGCAAGAGAAACACAGAGTGAGCTGCCAGGAGACACCACGTAGTTGCTGAGAAAGTAGCAGGTTCAGGCATTCTCTGGTAAGCCAAGATTACATGGAGATACATAGTTTAATGGAAATGGGATAATAATTAAGAGAGAGCTAGCCAAAAGAAGCCTGAGCCATTGGCCAAACAGTTTCTAATTACTATACGCCTCAGTGTGTTTATTTAGGACCAAATGGCTATTGAACAGAAATTGAGTCTACAGATACCAACCCAAAATATACTGTAGTACATATATATCATCCCAGGTACTGTTATTTTCCTGACCTTTGATGGGATGCAAACAGTCATGAGCTGTACTGAGGCACCAGCAGATGCCACAGACAAGCTGTTTTAAAGGGTAGTTTTGTTATTACCTTTTATTAATTTTGTGTATGTGTGTGTGCTGAAGGGATGTGGAGGTCAGAGGGCAACTTACAGGAGTTGGTTCTCTGGTACTACATGGGTTCCAGAGTTCAAACTCAAGTTGTCAGGCTTATAGCAGATACACTTGTCTACTGGCAATCTCACTGGTCCAAAAGTAAACTTATTAATAAATAGGAATACATTTTAAAAAATGCACTACTGGCTACCATATACTGTAGTAACAGTGAGTACTGTTTTGATGTCACATCCATATCAGGTCCATTGCATACATTACCAATGCACAGCATTTCACGACAACCTTGCTGTCCAGATCACGCAATCTTTAAGGATGACTCATCATCCAAGAAATGTCCTATGGTACATGCCTGTGCATGTGGGTCCACAGGTGACATTTTTGGAATGTAGCTTTCCTTTCCATTTTATAATCATCTAGGTTTACTGTTTGAACTTGAAATACAGTATACCGGGGCAGCAAGCACTCTATCAAGGCTCAAAACCATGGGACGCAGCAGTGGTTAAAAATGCTGGCTGCTCTTTCAAGAGGACCTGAGCTCAGTTCTCAGCATCTTACACAGTGGCTCACAACCTTCTCTAACTCTAGCTGCAAGGGATCCAATGCCCCCTTCTGGTTTCCACAGGAACTGAACACATGTGGTGCATGGACACACAGGTAAGCAAAATAACCACAAATATAATTTCTTCCCCTCTTAAGTATTTATAGAAGGAAAGCCACAGTAGTCCCATTTACGCTGCCTTCCTACATTTACTTCCTTAGGGTGCCTTTAGAGTTTATAATTGAATTTCCTTTGAATGTCTGTTGGAGCCAACACCAAACAACGATTATTTCCAACTTCAAAGACCAGAAAGAAAGAGAGGAAGTTTATGGTTCAAGAGGTACATTTTAAAAAATTATCTTTATTTAGGTTTTCTGATTCAGCACATGTATTAAAGACTGATCAACATAAAGGAAATAAGACATTAACTGGACGTCTTACATCTCTCTAAACTCCAACAGAGAATGTCAGGGCTGCCACCATTACCTGAACTCCAAGCTAGTCAAAGCTGTAGACAGGCTATCAGAACAACACACAGAGCACACGGGTATGCAGAGGCAGAGGGCATGCTAGCATTTGGCTCTCCTCTCTTCCTTGTCGACATCTTCCCATCTGACAGTCTGCTTTCTTTCCAAATAAAGTCCACGAGACAACTCAGGGTGCACCTGACTGGACAGTCTTCCGAAGGAGTGCATTCCGACCTGTGGTGCCTGCAACCTTGTTTTCGTTGTCTTGTCAGGATGAAGTTCAGATCAAGATGCACAATACAATCTGATGATGGCGAGGACTGAGTCAAACAGCGGAAGTTGAGCGGTAACCCAAGTTAAGGCATGAATGCACACACGCACACGTGTACACACACAGCACCCATGCTACCACGCACAGAGGATCCCATTGATCACTCAAGGAGAGGCAGGCGACCTGGGTGTGGCCAGTAATCACAACTGCTGAGCATTCTGGGAAATGATCCCCAAAACGGTAGGCTAACACATTTTTATCAAATTTAAAAAAAAAAAAAAAAAAAAAAAGAAATTAAAACTTAACAAAAAATTCCTAAGAATCTTTTAGTCTCTCACAACGGCTCCCGAGAAGGAACAAAGGAGCAGCGTCAATGGCTGGCTCTTTAATAATTTGGAAATAGAAGTTTTTCTACGAACATCTTTGGTAGTCATCACTACAAGCTCTCAGCATTGGTTACCCTATCGGACAAGTACTAGACAGAAGATCAAGTTACACAGAAGACTTTCTTTCTCCTGCACTTTTAAAAAATAAACTTTCTGAAGCATGGACTGCCATGCTTTTTCCTGTCTTAGGGGGCGATTTTCAAAAGCGGAGCTCTGTACAGGACAAGTTCATGTCTACCTAACAACGGGGGATACATACTCTCTTCCTGCAACTGAAGGATCAACAAAAATTCACATTATCGATTATATCTGGTCGAATCAGAAGCCATTGACAAAGGCACAGCAGCATGAGGTGTCAAAGCCACATTCTGGTCACACATTCATTCCATGGTCACTTGTCTGTGTCTCAGGAGCTCAGAATTTAAAACTCCCTCCTCCAATCAACAAAGACATATAAATAAAATCTCAACCACTTCCACATCAGCCAAAGGTCTACACTTTTGTCTAGAATGCCAGCATGCTTAACCCGAGAAAGCAGTTCAGAGCCCAGAGGTGCAGGGTGCTGGGTGCGTGTGTGGACTGGGCTCTGATCAAAGGCAAGGTCATCTGGGAATCGACCCTCACCATATTAGCAGCACAGTGGTACCCTAGGGTCTCTGTCAACAAGACAGGAAATGAAGCCACTGAAGGTATTGTTGCCCTCACCTGCCGATGATGGCTACTGATTTTAGTCCAGAGTTAGCCTGTGAGAGTGGGGAGCTAAACCCCAAGGAGCCATGTCCAGCCCCAACCCACACTACTAAGGAGGCTCCTGTCTCTGGGGGCTCAGCAGCTGTTTCTCTTACTTATCACTACCTGCTTCAAAAGTGACACAAACTATTCTAAGTTCAGATGTAGTGTTTGTTCTCTAGGTTTTACCGCCTGCAGGGAGAAGCAACCGGATTATGCTAAAAAGTGCTGTTAGAGGAGTTGGCTTATTTTGAGGAGATGTGATGTGTCTAGAGGAATCTGCAGGACATTTTCCGGGACAAGTCTGAACGAACAAACCAACGGACGTCAAGAACCTATCTCTAAGAGGCTCTGCTCGCCACACGTACGTACGGCAGGGCCTTCACTCTTGTGCTTCTAGGAGGTAACTGAACTGATGGGCAGCGGAGGGGGACATTACAGAATGGACTTGTGTGCTGGAGTATATACTGCTAGCCAACAGTACTGAAATCTACAATCCCAGAAATGTTTTGTAAACACATACCATATTTCTCTCACACGGGGGGGGGGGGGGTAAAAAAAGAAAAAAAAATATCAAGATTGTACCGTAAAGGAAGAATTCTTCTGCCCTAGCCTCAGAATTTCCTTGGAATGGTCATGTACCGAGAGGGTCAGTTGGAGAAATGCCCGGGTTTAGTCTGACATGGAAAACGTAAAGCCTTGACAGGAAAAGCCAGACTCCACCCCGTGTCTGATAACGGCACTGTGGCCTGTACATCACACACACCTTAAAAATAAAACTTTCACAGACCGACATTTTCTTCCTGGTCGTCAGAGGATAACATTCCCAGTTTAGGGGTTGAGGAAAAGAGGTGAAGGGTCCTAAGGTTGTTCTTATTCTCAAGTTCTTAAGATGCCGTCAAACACTATTATCCAATAACACTTTTTCATTCTGTTAACTCTTAAATATGCATTCGAAGGCAAAAATGGAGGTTTCTAGACTGTACAATATTAAATATCTACAATGTCACCAGGATATTTATTCCTCGTTCTCGGGAGTGTGTTCCATGAGGAGTTGCTATTAAGAGATGGCTGACACAAACATGAACTCTTAAAAATGACTGATAAATTAATTTTCAGTTCTCTGATTATATCTAACAGATTCACACTTCTCATGGTAAAATATACATTCTCTAGGAAGTTATTTTCATCCACGGCATATATAAATATGCAAACACAGGCAGGGTAAAGCACTTGACTACGAAAGCACAAAGTAACTGTGACAAACAGAAATGAAGGTGGTCACAGGGCCACTCGGTGTTCCACCTGAAGCAAAACCCAAGGATTTAATTGTGCTGAGTGAATGACAATCACATTCAGAACCTTCTTGGTACTCTCCTGGCTTACTTATGATGGGCAAAGTGGGCAGCTGTCAAGGCCAGTGAGCTCCTTTGCTGGCTATACTTCCTTTCTGCCAAGTGCTCCTCAGCCACTGTGCCAAAATGCTGCCTACACTTCAAACAGTATTTCCTAATAGCATTTCGCACCTAGAAAATACTTGTTCACCCTCTGTCTCAGGACCACACAAAAGAACGGAAGGGATAACTGAAATGGCTCTGTTACAATCTCATGGTCCCTGCAGTAGAGATCCAAGACCACATTCGAGTCAGCATCAAGATCACATGTGGGAAGGCATTTATCCACTCACAGCAGAGGGGGGCTGGCTGGCTTAGGTGGATTAACTTTAAGAAGAAAGGAAAAGAATCGAATCTCAATAGGAAGAAATTCCTGTCCCACGAATTGCATGGAGAGAAGCTACAGCTGTGTGACTTGTTTCTGTAGGCTGCTTTACAAGAGACAGGGCAGGCAGTTAATTTACATAAAAAACAACCTGTAACAAGTGTGTCTGTAGAAAGCTCTAGACTAGACATGTTGTGGGCACCGGTTTATCTAACTTCCAATCCTAGACTCAGAGTTAGGTTTGCAAAGGTCTGAACTGTAGTGCTCAACTCTTGGTATGTTTAGTAAACTCCCCACTGTGAACCTGGAGGAGGAGGTTTACTAACAGCTCAGTAATTTCCTGCAATTTCAGAGGAAAACTATAAAAGAAAAAAAAAAAATTCCCTTCCTACTTTACAAACCTTAAAAACCAAGAAAAGCCCTGGGGCCAGGGATTGGGGAGGGGATTTTGCACACTGCTTCTTATTACCAAATACCAAATAGCAATGTTCCAGCCAGGGAATGATGGACACAGAGATTCAAGTAAAACACCGATGGAAAAAGTCGTCTGGTTAGTGTTGCAGACCCACAACACAGGCTGCGTTTCTGACAGACATTCACAACACTATGAGGAGAGAAGCTAGACAACCTCAGTGCAAACACATCAGATCCAAATATGCCAGGAAAGAAGCCTTTGGCGTTGAGAAGGCGGCTCCATCAGACAAGTCCCAACTTGAAATTCTGACTAAGCTCATGCATTAAGGCTGGGAGGAGGGGTGCACCGAATGCTGCTGCGATGATGGGGTGGGCTGCGAGGAGGTGGCTGCAGAAGGGACCGCGGGCTGCATGGGGGGCGGAGGAGGTGGTGGAGGTGGCTGCACTGGGCTCTGTGTGTTGGGTGATGGAGGCGGCGTGGGCCTTTTGAACTTATCAGGACTGCTGCTTCTCCGTGGTGACGGCCTCTGTAGGGAGAGCAGGGATAGCAGGTCAGTTTGGGACATCAGTTCCATTCCAACAAAGCCTGAATTGGGGCTGAGGAGAATGGAACCTAGACCAACAAGGTTAAGAGAGCCATGGGTTCCTTCTCTACCATTCGAGGTTCCTGAACGAGCCGGGACAACACAGACACTGTAGTGCTCATACCTAGGCCTGTGAAGAAGTCACACAAAACGATAATGCATCTTTCCCAGCCAAACAAACACTCAAGTGGGGCCCTTTAGTGAAACAACAACAATAATAACGAAGATGCCACATTATCCCTGTAAACACTGTCAATTGTGTGTCCTTGGTTTCCTCCATCATTCAGCCTTTTCTCAGATTCTAAGGCATCATGCTACAACACTGGCTACCTTTACATAACCTCCTTCAAACCTCAAAAGACTTGCACAGGCGCCCCCAGTAACGTCTTAACTAATTTCTCTCTTCACTCCTGCTTTTGTATTTCCTTCTGCTCTCTCAGCCAACCGCACAGTCAAGGGTACAGGGCAACCCTCCTGAGTGGAGTTCCATAGCCAGATTAACTTGACCCTTCCGAATCCAGGACAGAAAATCAGAGTAAAACCAGGAGCCAGGGCAACTTTTAGGAGGCTGCCCCTGAGGATCAGTGAACTGCAAAGGTGTTGGGAACAGGTAACTTGAGATTTTTATGGAAATGGCCGCTAGTGCTTTATGGCAAGCAGCTGGCTACAGTTCAGTGACGACATTGTCCAGACTTCAAATTACATTTGATAGCAGGCAATTTCCATGAAAGAAGAGGAATACCACCGTTTGGGACATGACTTTCAACACCAGAACTCTGTGTCGGACTCTTGGGAACACTCTATAAGCCAGAGGGAGAAATGACCCAAGACTGAAGGTGGCAAATGGCAATCAGCAGTTTTCAGTTCCCCCGAGAGGCTTCACTCTTCGTGAGTCGGCAAGGACACTTACTGTGATGCCATGGGACGCCCCCATGTGCTGAGCATGGAGACCTGGAGAGTTGTAGTAAGACATTCCAGCTCGAGTCAATGAAGTTGGTGGCGTGAAACCAACTGTATGACTTGCATACGAAAGACCTGGAACATAAACAAGGACACAGAGGTTCAGCACCGTGTATCACCTGATTGTCTGGGGTCGTCAACCATCTAGGAAACATTTAAATAAAAATGGACAAGTAAAGGTATGGGGCCTGCTCCAAGGCATGCTGGGTAGCAAAACAAACAACTATCAAGCACTGGAGACAAGCAGTCAATCTGGACATGAACGTGTCATATTCCATCCGATGACCCTTCGCTCAGCTGCCAAGAAAGAGGAAGAGATGGGACAGGAACGGCCTCTTCAACTGTGTGGGGAAAATTTCAAATCCACAGGCAAAAACAAACAAATATTGTGGGATAGTACTTCAACTATGCAAAGATGTGTTACATTTGTTTATGCCACATTTGTTGATGTAAAGACCTGTTGCTGTTGCACTTTGCCGCCTAAGGCACCCAGTTGGTCTAATAAAAAGCTAAGAGGCCAAGAGCTAGGCAGGAGAGGAACAAGTGGGGCTGGCAGGCAGAGATGGCAGGCAGAGAGAATAAGAAGTCTAAGAATGAGAGACAAGAGAAGAGAATGAGGGAAAAAAAGAGGGACCCGCCCTAGACCGGAAGCCCAACAGCTGCCAGCCAGCCAGACATGAGAAGCAGTGAAGGTAAGACATACAGAAAGAAAGAAATGCAAAAAGCTCGGAGGCAAAACATAGATGAAGGGAAGCAGGTTAAGTTCTAAGAGCCAGTGAGCAAGCGTAAGGTAAGACTGTGCATTTACAACTAATAAGAAGTCTCCGTGTCATGATTTGGGAGCTGGTTGGTGGCCCAAGAGAAATCCTGCTACAAACAAATACCTTTTCTGTTACACCATCCACAGGCATCAAATGGATTATGGAGTTACAGAGCACATCCGTGTTCAATAGTGGGTAAAACCTGCAGCGTTAAAACAGCCTAACTGCCCATCAGTGGCTGAGCAGATAACGGAAACTGATACAGGTGGCAAGTTCTGTTCTGTTACAAGGTGGGAAGCCCTGCCTTTCGCATGTGCTCAGAGAGCACTACACCAAGTAACACGGTCACAGAGGGGCAAATAATGCACCGCTCCCCAGATACATGGAATCTGGAAAGGCAAAGCAGGCACAGGAATATGGTGCCTGCCAGGGACCAGGAAGAACGGGAGAAAGGCAAGGCCTACTGCTCTGTAGGGGTGAGGCTTCGGCCCAGCAAGATGCGAAGAGCTGCTGGAGAACGCTGACTATGCCCACAGGTGACAATGCTTGCCACAGCTTAAATAAAAAAAAAGTCAAACATGGCCAGTTCAGCCCTTTACAGGGTAGGAGTACAAGGGGAAATCGAGAAAAGGGTGAAAACTAAATGGGAGAAAAGGAAGAGAGATGAGATATACCAGTAACAATCACACAGGACAAGTATGCATGTGTGCAAGTATGTCTAAGCATGTGTATGCACACAAACTTTGCAACCTGAACATGTCTGACACATGCCAATGTTCCCTGAACGAAGCCAAGAAAGTGACACATATCAGGGCTTGAGGAGAAGGCTGAGTTGATGAAGTTCTTACTGCATATGCATGAGGACCCGAGCTCTACCCCTATCACCCATGTAACTTATCAGGAGGCTCTTTGGGGCTTGCCAGTCAGTCAGTCTAACTGAACTGGTAAACTCCAGGCCAATGAGAGATACTCTTTCAAAACAGACAGCTCGCTCGCTCCTGAAAAATGATGCCTGTGCCCTGGCCTTCAAGTACATGGATGTACCCACCCACCCATCCCTTTACATTCTGTTTGTCTGTTTCTGATTAGACAGCCTTGGGGTAGGGTCCAATCAAGCCCTATTTGAACTATTCGGAGTGATTTAACTGTGGACAGTCTAAGAAGCCCTAGAAAGCAGAGGTTGTACTGGCCTCAGCAACACTTACACAGCATCAACCCAGTGCCTTACACCGTTACTCCTAGCATCTAAATGGAGAAGCCACACAGGCACAGGAGAAGCCACTTGCGGTGTGCACGGTCCACCCCCTTCCACCACGGGTGAAATGTGTTTGAACACTTAGTGCCCAGCAGATGGTGCTGTTCTGGAAGGCTATGGATCCCTTAGGAGGTAGGGCCTCAGAAGATGTGAATAAGCAGAGAATCTTAATGTTTTATATAGTTCAGCCTCATCTCCAGACCATTCCCTGCCTGTGGATGCAATGTGACACGCTGCCTCGTGCGCTTGCCCTATGTTCTTCTCTGATGGGACAGGCTGTAACCCACCTTTTGTCCCTTAGGTTGCTTCCTGTCAAATGTCTGGTCATAGCCTAACTAGTATAGAGCCACAAAACGGTGGTGGTCCACACCTTTAGTTCCATTACTTGGGAGGCAGAGAAGCAGGTGGATCTCCATCAGTTTGAGGCTAGCCTGGTCTACAAAGTGAGTTCCAGGACAACCAGGACTGTTACACAGAGAAACCCTGTCTTGAAAAACCAAAACCAGACTAACAAACAACCATTAAACAAACAAAAAACAAAACAAAACAAAAAACCCCACTAAGGACTGGTACCACCATCGTCTTTTAAGGAACTGCAGGTGGCTAGTGGCCAAGGTGTATTAACCACTTATTGCTGGCCCGAATTCACGGGAACAAGCTGCATGTCTGTCTATTTACCTGCACAAAGATACACCAAGTGTCTTACAGGACTGTTCTGTGCTCTCAACATCAAGTGCTAAGAACAAATTTCCTGACTTGATGATGACAGTGGGGCTTTCTTTCTGACAGACTTCCCATTTCCATTTGATTTCTGACTCAGATTAACAAAGTGGCACTCTGCAACAAAGCACCAGTCTTTTAGACCACAGCGGCCATTTAACGTGCTGTTCACAATGCGCTGGCTGACATTTGAGAGGCCATCTGCAAATGACAGGCCAGGAACAAAACCCTAACTCTGCTTCTTAGGGAAGTAATGGTGAAGTGGGAGGTGAGAGCAAGGGTGTCCCACTCAAAGGAAAAGTGAAATGAATGAACACTCCCATCCCACAGGAAAATCCAATATGTACTGAAAAGAAAATGGTGCCTTCATTTCAAAGATCATTCAAGGAATCTCTTGATTAAGTACATTCAGGGGTTAAGAGCACTTGTTGCTCTTGCATTGGACTTGGGTTCGATTCCTAGCACCCACATGGTGGCTCACAACCATCCACTTCCAGGGGACCCAACACCCTCTTCCTAACCTCTGGAAGAACCAGGTTCTCATGAGATGGATGTGCGGGCTAAGAATTCATACACATAAAAATATAAAAAGATTCCTTTCACTAATCAAAAAAAATTCCAGCCTATTTACTAGGCTAATTTTTCTGAAGAATAATTTTAATTATGTTAAACCCCTAACAAAGAATCTTCAAAGACACTATTTCTTACTAGGCCAGCAATCCTCAGCTGTGACCATCAAGCCCTCTGACCCTAACTTTAACCACAACCCAATCAATCAAGGGAATGGTGCCCAGGGCAGCCAGTGATGGCCACCTCTGTCCCATGGTGCTGAGGCACAAGGACATATTAACCTCATTGTACTATAAATCCCACCATTAGCAAATAGGATTCCATAACACCCTCATATTACTGGAAGAACTAAATGAGCTATCAGTGTATTGTTTTTGCACTCTCTCCCAGGCCCTGTCGATTATATGAGATTAGGTCAGGGGATCTTATTAATTTTTATTCTTCCTTAAATCTTAATAACCATGCATCTCACCCTTTGGTCCAGGAATATATTAAAGAATAAACAATATCAACCTTTGTTGAACCTGGAAATCTGAACACTGTGGCCACTGAGCAGAAAACAGTCAGCTCGGATTAAAGACAGGGACACATTTTAAGAAACATGTCTGTCAGCAGTTTCAGTGAGAGACCAGAGTGTCCCCAAACTGCTAGGGAATAACAGCACTAGAAGCAGTGTGGTCTGTGGCTGATAGAAACATCAATACAGTGCAGGTGATTAGATGGCTTTTATTAGTCACACTGTCCTAGCTGGGGGCGGGGGTTGTGATTCTCTGTAACAGCCTTACCACTGTTTGAGAAATTCTTTACCTTACCAAGATGCAGTACGCGCGCGCGCGCACACACACACACACACACACACACACACACACACACACACACACACACACACATCCCACATCCTTTCCAAGTGGCCCAAGTTCCTTTTAATGGAGAGAATGGAGATAGGAACCAAATCTGGTTTCAGGGTACACTCATTTTTACCGGGGACATAAAGCTGCCTTTGGACCTCGTTATTGCCCATTCCTGGTTCAGACACATCCAAACATGCCATTGAGAAGACCTTAGCACCATTATACATACAGATGCAGTAAGATTGCCTTGCAGAGCATTTCAAGAAATAGTATTCAAAACCAAACTCTCACACTTGTTGCCCCCCCACTCCAGTGATGATTGTAGCTTTTTTTCTATCATTTATTAATGACATGTCTCTAAAAATTTTGTTAGCTTTGAGCAGATCAAATAAGATGTTATATTATACTCATCATGAGTTGGTATTCCTGCCTGCTAAAAAGTAACCCACCCCCCACTCATGACTTAAATCTTCATTTAATGCCAATAAACCAAAAAGTAAAAAGGAGACCTTTATTGTGGTGTTGAAAGCCTAGCATTTTGGGGGGGAAATGGAGAGGCAACTAAGAGAATTTTTCGGGGACAGACTTAAGGCCCTGAAGACAAGAGGATTCAGATTGGGACAGCCTTTTGGAAAGAACAAGGAACAACGACCAGTCACACTGTTCATCTTGGATAGAAATGCCTGGTCAACCTTGATTTCCTTTGTCTCAGAGAGTTCACATCTCTAATACAACAGTTGCCACCATGTTCCTTTGAAAAGGAAAAGGAGTAGAGAGCTAGAGAGATGGCTCGGTGGTTAGAGCACTGGCTGCTCTCCCAGAGGACAGGGTGTAAAATCCCCAGTACCCACAATATGATAGTTCACAACCACATGTAATTCTAGTCTCAGGGACCCAGTGTTCTCTTCTGACCTCTGAGGGCACTGTACATACGTAGTTCACAGACACAGCAAAATAATAATAATAATACCATCAAAAGTCATTGTAGTGCTGACTAGGTCCCAAACAGATGAAGCCAAGACATTTCTACTACAATGTCCTAACTGCAGTGTCTCTACAGCACCGTGCCCCATTCGTCAGCCTTACGGGAAATCCTTGCTTTAATCATGACCTCAGACAAAACAAACCACAGGCCTAAGATTGCCTTTGCAAGGCCACCCCACTCCTCTAACATGGCACCACCCCAACAGATTTGTCCCTCAACTCTATGTGCAGATTGTTCATCAGCTAGCGGTTGTCAGTCTCTGCCTTCTCCCTGATAATCCTGCCACCCACCCTCTGCCTCACTTCCTCCTCATCCTTTGAGGGTGGGTCATGTACTTGTCCACCAACATGGGAGTGCCAAGCAGAGCTGGTGCGGGGCCCAGGACATGGAGGAATATTTTGGGGGTCAGATGAAGAAAAGCATCCTGGGAAGGGGTAAGTCCTGGATATCAAAGTGGAAGAGGAAGTAGCTGCCTTGCTTCTTCCTGCCTTTCAGGCCTGGCTCACAAATCACTCAAGTATCGGGAGGCAGCTCAGGCTAGGAGGAACACTGGTTTTAGCTAAGGAAGCCCACCCTGGTGTCTTCCTGGCCCAATGACTGAGAGATGGTAACCCATGAACAGCTGCTTCTCCTATTTTAACAAAGGAAGAAGAATGCCTGAAGGATCACCTAGAACAAAAGTGATAGGAATGTAGTGAAGGGACCCAAAGAAGATGCACAAAAAGCTGAAAAATAACACTATGTAATAAAATAATAGTAAACAAAACAAAGCACAGCCCTTGTGTCTAAGATCTTCAAACTGACACACAGTACCGACAGTGACTTACTTTTGAAAAAACACAAAATAAAAGGGAACACAGCTAGGGCCGCCAATGAAACATATCAGAAGAGCTAGCTGAAAATTGGTGGTGGTGGTGGGAGGACTTGGCTAAACCCATGTGAGGTCCTAAGTTCAATCCCTAGTCACTGCTCCCCCCAAACCAGCCGGAAAACAGCTACACTGTGGTAGCAGAGGACATACTCACCGGGTGATATAGGCCTGCTTGAACTGGGAGAAGGCGTGTAAGGGATTGGGCTGGACACAGTGCGAGGTCTTAGTCCTTGTGCAGACATCTCATTAAAATACCTAAAAGAAGAGAGGAGGAAGGAGTTGAAACACCTGTGTTCAACTAGTCCCTAGACGACATCTTAGGAGAAACCGTGTGAATTCACAACTTGCGGTTAAAATCCAGGCAGTTGGTGAGGCTGTATCCAGGGGTCATTTCTATTAAGGACCCCTTCGTCAAACTGTTCCCGTCTGACAGATCTCACCACCCCCAGAGGTCTGTCATAGCCATGTCATACATCAGAGAAGATCAGTCAAAGGAGTCCCTTTAGTGACCCCAGAAGCACAGAGACATTAAACTGCCATTTGAAGTCTAATACCAAATAAGCTGACAAATATTTAAGCTATCCCATTGAGTTTAAAGACACATATGCCCCCCGGGGCTCAGTGCCATGCGTTTACAAGGCAAGCTCTGCTAACAGATAGTCCCAAATTAGAGCTTAACAGAAGACACCAGTGCTAAGCACCTTCTGTGGACCACACTCAGTCACACTGTGCTGAGTCTAAGCTTTCACCTGAGTTTAAAAGTCATGATAGCTCTGAGCATGCTGAAGTGTGATCATTGGGACCATTGGCTTTCACTCTGTGACCCAAGTCCAGAGTACTGATGGGAGGGAATTTCTGCTTGACAGACTTCCCAACAAACCACCCTCCCTGGCCTTAAAGCTAAACAGGCATGTACTTTCATCCCAGAGTATCATCAGCCCTGGTGTTAACCTTAGCAGGTTAATGGAGCCTGATTGACACACAGCTTCAATACCAGGTGGTTAATAAATATCATCCCTTTAAGTGGTCTTAAGTATCTGAACTTTCCTTTCCCCGAGATTCACCACATCGATATCAGTCCTAGGATGCAGAGTGGTACTGAACTAGGCAACTCCATTGTACCTGGAATAACTTATGGCAAAACAAAAGCAGGGCTGGGAAGTAGCTCAGCTGGCACATTGCTTGCCTAGCATGCAGAAGCCCTGGCTGGGTTGTGCCTCCATGCTCCTGTGGTGGTAAAAAGGAGAAGACATTCTAAGCTAATGGACCTTGAAAGCGAGTAGGTATTGCCAATGCAATATTTGACAAAGTAGACTTCAATTGAGAGTTAAGTCAGGAGAGGTAAAGAGGGATGCACCTGGTTTCATAAATCAATACCATAGGGTATAAAGACAGACTTTTTTTTTTTTTTTTTTTTTTTTTTTTCTCGAGAGGGTGTCTCTGTGGCTTTGGAGACTGTCCTGGAACTAGCTCTTGTACCAGGCTGGTCTCAAACTCACAGAGATCTGCCTGCCTCTGCCTCCCGAGTGCTGGGGCTAACGGCATGTGCCACCAAAGCCTGGCAAGACACAGACTTAAGCAGTAACAGCAGAGGATTCAGTTCCCATGTTCACCAAGCAACAAGCCATCCAAACCAAAAGAACTAGCAAAGAAACATCAGTCAGATATCACAGATCAAATGGACTTAACAGACACCTAAGATGACTCCACTCAAACAGCGCAGGATATACATTCTCATCAGCAGCCTACGAACCCTTCTCCAAAATGGATCGCATCTTAGGATGAAAGCAAATCTTAAAAGTATTTAAGAATGTTTGACTAACTGCTTGCATTAAACCCAGTCACACTGGAACAAAGAGGAAGATTAGCAATGAGAGAACATAAGAGGTCATGGACAATAAACAACATAGCACGGAATGATGACATAGGTCATGGAAGAAGTCAGGAGGGAAATTAAAAATCTCTAGAATTCAGTGAAAACAAAAACAAGAATATCAGAACCAGAACCCTAGGGATACAACAAAAGTGTTTCTAAGAGGTAAGTTTATAGCTACAAATGCCCACAGAGATAGATAGAGACAGATATACATACATACACACACACACACACATACACACATACACACACACACATATATATATATATAGAGAGAGATCACAAATCAATAACTTAATGATATACCTTAAGGGTTTGGGGTGGGGGGGGGGAGAGAACATGCCAAACCCAAAACTCAATAAATAGAAATACCAAGAACAGAACCAAGATTAATGAAATGAAAATACAACTAGTAATAATAACCAATGACACAAAACATTGGTTCTTTAAAAAGATAAATTTGACAGAACTTTAGCCAAATGAACACAGAGACACCAGTCACACTCAAAGGACAATTAGGGCAGTATAAAAACCTACAATCTAAAACACTGCAGTCTCTAAGAAACTGATACATTTTGAAACACACACACAATTTATCAAAATTAAACTGAGAAGATATAAGCCACTTAGCGCTCAGACAGAATCCATCTCAAGCAATGAGATTGACTTAGTAATCCAACTAAATACAATTCTAAAAGTCAAGGCCCAGAGGACTCACTGCTGAGTCCTACCAGACCTCTAGAGAAGCAACATCAATGCTCTTCAAAATATGGCATAAAGTATGAAAGAGACGAACACAGCCACGTTCAGTTAACATAGCCAGTATTCCCGATTTCAAAACCAGGCCAGGACCAACAGCAGCAGCAAATTAGAAGACTATCTTTCTTCTGGGCATGGATTCAAAAATTCCCACTAAAAGAACTTGCAAATGGGACTGACTATACATGAAGAAGATCTTTGCCATGAGCCAGTCAGTTTGAGTCCAGAGATGCAAGGATGGTTGAACACACTCAAGTCAATAAATGATCAACAGTCTCCGAAGAGAAATCGCTTCACCATCTCCATAGTCCAACATCCTTTCATGACAAAAGACCTGAAGAAACAAACCATGGATAGGAGGAGTATATCTCAACATAATAAAGGACACATGCAACAACCTGATACCCAACATTATACTGACAGGGAAAATCCCAAAGCAATGCTACCCACAGCAGAACTGTGACAAGGATGCCCACTTTCTCCACACTTATTCAAGTATATCCATGACGTCTTAGCTAGAAGAAAGCAGACAAAAGAAATAAAATTGATGTGAACAGAGAAATTGAACAACTCCCATTTGTATATACAATTTGTTACATAAAATGATCCCAAAGACTCCATCTGAAAACCCTTAAACCAGATAAACACTTTCAGAAAAGTAACAAGGTACAAAAATCAACATCCAAAAAGTCAGATTTTCTATATACCAACACCTGGCAAGGAATAAACCATGGGATTAATTCTATTACCTTAAAAAGTAGGAATAAAACTAGCCCAGGAATTTAAAGACCTCGACAATAATAAAATTTAAAATTCTGCAGAAAAAAAAAAAAAGTGAAAAAGACACCAGGAGATGGAAAAAGTTCCCATCAGCACGAATAAGCAGAATTCCTATAATGATATTTGCAGTCCTCATCAACGTTCCAAAGGCATTCTTCATAGACATTGGGGCGGGGAATCCTAAAGTTGATGGATGAGCACAAAGGATTCCAGAGAAGCAAAGCAATCCTGAGCAGAAGGAACAGAGTTCACAGTGTCACTGTGTCTGATTTCAAGTTATACTGCTAAGCCACAGTCATGAAAACAGGCAGGATTAAATCCATGTAACTACCTGACTTTTTGAGAAAGACATAAAAATATACACCGGAGAAGGGCTAGCCTCTTTAACAGTACTGGGAAAACTGGGTACTCACAGGTGGAATGAAACTTGTACAAAAATCAAATCAAAATGGATCAAAGACTTTTTAATATTAAGACCTGAGAGGACGTTACTACACAAAAGGGAACACTTCAAGACACAGGCACTGGCACAGACTTTCTGAAAAGAATGATAGCAGCTCAGGAAATGACATCGGGAACTGACAAATGGGATGGTATGAAACAGAGAAGCACAGGACACAGTCACTGCTGAGGAGGAAACCCACAGAATGGGAGGAAACCTTCGCCAGCTACACCTCAAGCAGGGTTAATAACATCCAGGATATATAAAGAACTGAAAAAAGTAGACACAAACAGACCAAACAAGCCCATCGGTGGATGCTCAAATGAGATAAACATAGGTTCTTAAAAGCTAAAGATGTGGTGGTGTGTGCCTTGTGAGTTTGAGAACAGCCTGAGAGAGCTTCAGTACAGCCAGGACTGCACAGTGAGACTCTAACTCAAAAACAAAACAAAACAAAACTGATTTTAAAAAAAGGACCTGGGTTCAAATCCCAGCACCTACATGAGCTAACAACTGTCTGTAACTCCAAGATCTGACACCTCACACAGTCATGCACACAGGCAAATAATGCACATAAAATAAAAATAAATTTTAAAAAATGGAATGTTAACAGTCAGTAAACGTATGAAAAAAAATGTCCAACATCCTTAGCTATCTGGGAAATGCCAGTCAAAACTATACTGAGATTCTCATCTTGGTTGGAATGGCAGTTACTGAGAAAACAAGGGATAAACGTTGGTAAGGCTGTCGATACAAGGAAGCCCTTACAGGCTGCTGGTGGGAATGTGAACCAGCCCAGGTGCTAACAAAATCTGTATGAGGGTTTCTTAAAAAACAAAACCAAAACTGTCATATGACTCAGACATGCCACTTCTGGGTCCTAAGTTACCTGGAGGTCTTTAAGTCGCAGAATTACAGACATGCCTGTAAATCTATTCCAAACAGCAGACTTGTAGATTCTGTACAGGGAGGTCCGCCCACAAGGGAAACGTGGTGTGTGGTGTGTGTATGCAGGAGAGCTTATGCAGTTGTAAATAAGACAAAAATGATGCCATTTGCCAGACCACAGAGGCTGCTGGGAACCAGAGTAAGTCAACTACGCCAGGCTTGGAGGTTAAGTGTCACGTCTTCTCTCATTTGAGGGCTCTAGATTTTTTACAGACAAATAAATTTATATATACACATATGGCATAAAGTCAGAAGGGAGGCCGAGGGCCAGAAAGATGACCAGTCAGCTAGAAGAAGTTTCAGACAGAAAGGGGAGGGTGTGAAATGAACGTGGTCAATGCACATAGCATACTTGAGGGACACTGTCCCTATAAAAGCCAATACTGTCAAAAAAAAAAAAAAAAAAAAAAAAAAAACACCAAAACTGGGACAAATTATTCTATAATTACTATGGCCTGATGCCTTTCTGATTAAGATTGTAAGAGATATTTTCAAAGAACACAGATGCATCTATGAGCTAAATACTAAACTCAGTGGGTTAAAAAACAAAGACATCAATCAAAGCAGCAGGGGGCTGCTGGGTGTGTGTGTGTGTGTGTGTGTGTGTGTGTGTGTTGAGAGATGAAAATGACAGGGGGCTGCTGGAAGGGTGTGTCTGTGTGTGTGCGCGCGTGTATGATGAGGGATGAAAATGACCCAAATTCAATATATACATTTGAAATTATCAAGGAATTAAAAGAAAGAAAAGCTTGGCATACTGTACTGACAAATGAGGTAACAAATATTCTAAAGGGGGGGGGATCACTGAAATGTTTGCAATTCAATTAAAGCAGATATGGAAACTCTTACTAAATGTGCTTGTGATATTTGTATCCAAGTATGTGAACTTATTTATTCCCGCTACTAGAAATAGGAACAGCATCAAATACATTTCTCTAGTACTTTTACTTACATTTAAATATCAATGTTATAAATTTAAAAATAAGATGCACGCCAGCTCTGCCTCCATCTCTCCCCTTTACACGCCATTTCAGAAGGGCAGTTTCATCTCCAGCTTCAGCGAAGCATTCAATCTTGCATGTATCCTACTGTGAGCATGTGCTACAACGTGGGGGTTATTCATCACCACAGCCCATATGACATTCAAGCTTTCCCCTTCTAGAACATATCATTTTCAAATCAATTTATGTTTTTGCCTGCAAATATGCCTATGCACAACCTACATGCCCGGTGCTGTGGAGGGCAGAAGAGGGCACTGGATCCCCGGGACTGGAGTTATAGATGGTGTGGTGCTGTGTGGTGCTGCGCGGCGTGCGAGGAGGGAAGGGATTGAGTTGAGGGGGATCATGGGTACAAACCTTTCGTCATCCATTTCCAAGCTGGACTCGCTCTCGGAGAGCTGGCGACATAGGGCTTCCCTCCTCTCCATCTCCCTCTGGAGCTTCCGCTGCAGCCTTAGGTTCTCTTCCCTCATATGCCGCTCCTCCTCCAAGTACTGGGCCATCTTCTCTGAATCTGAAAAGACACAGCTTGCAATTAAACTGTGTTTCCTACAATTATCACCCCACCTTTGGAATGCTCTCCCTCCTCCCCCCGCAGGAGTCCAGGGTTTAAAATTTATCCTTGCCATCAAAGTTCATAAGTTAGTAAATGATCTGACAGGCTAGGCGTCTTCACCCCATTCCCATCCATTCACAGGACAGGGCTCCAGGTGAAGACATGACAGACCTGGGGGCTGAGTTTCAATTTCTACCTTGTCAGACTTCCTTCTCCATGGTGGAAGCTGGGAGTGACTGGCTCACCAGTTGCCCTACAGGCTGCCTGTTCACTCTAGACAGGCCACTTGGGTGGTGGGGCATCGCCCTCCTTAGTAAGCACATGCATTGTGCATAGTGGTCAAACTCCTCCCAGCACACTGTGCTAGCAGAACACATTCGGTGACAGGTAATGTTTTTGTAAAGCAGAACTTTACACACTGAACAAAACTCTTTTCTACCAAGTGCATGCAAGCCTCATCCAGATGTGTATGGAAAACATTTGGGAACTGCTTCACTCCTTCAATCATGTGGGTTCTGGGGATTGAACTCAGGTCCTCAGGCTTGGTTGCCAAATGCCTTTATCCACTGGGCCTGCCAGTCCAGTAATGACTTCTGATGACATTAGGCAGTGATTTCCAAATATGCATCATTGCAGAAGATAACAAAGTTCTTAAACTCTTTTATGTTAATTAACGGTTTATTTAAATTATGCATAGATGTGTGTCTGTGTGTTAGTATATGCACAACAGTACAGTGCCATGGAAGCAAGATGTCCCATGCATGTCCTAGTGCTAAAATTACAGCTGCTAGGAATTGAACTAAGATCCTCTGGGTGAGCAGGAAGCAGTCTTAGCCACTGAGCCATCCCTCCTGCCTCCTGTTTCAGAAATTAAAATACCCAGATTATTAGACACTGTTACGTAGACTAAACACTAAACCTCTCAGCTGTTCTGGATACAGCCAGAAACCCTGCTGCCTAATCCATATGCAAAGCCTGTTTAATTGAAGTGATGCTGGGAAAATACTTCCAAAGCTCACTTTTATTATGAGCAGCTTAAACCAAGTCTCCCCAAGTATGCTTGTGTGCAGATTACTCATAGAGTTCAACAGCAAGCACCAGGTGGCCCTGGATGTACCTCATGTTGTTCAAATTCAGATGGCCACTACAGAATACGTTCTCTTCCATAAACAGCAAAGTTCCCTAGAACAGTGACTTAAGAGGAAACATTGTTCTCAGATAGATAGATAGATAGATAGATAGATAGATAGATAGATAGATGATAGATAGATAGATAGATAGATAGATAGATAGATAGATAGATAGTGATTTTGGCAGGGCATGGGGTACATGCCTGCATTCCCAGTATGGGGGGGTAGGTTAAGGCAGGAGGGTTGAGAGTTCACGGTCAGCTAGGGCTACACAATGAGACCCTGTCTCCAACAAACAAAAATACAGTATACCAAAATTAAAAGGAGAGGGCGATTTGTTAGCATATGGGGACTCAGCAAGGAATGCTGTGACAAGAATATCACCTCAGGGAGGACTACAGGGCTACCTGTCAATGCATCAATTAACTCAGACACACTAGCGGGCTCCAGTGTAACTTCTCCAGTGTCAAGACCCAGGCACAGGAGGCTGGACCCAAGGCATTCCTTGGGTGCCCTCTGCTGGTCCCCTGTCACTCTCCTCTCACACAGCCCTCCAGAGGTGGGGGCAGGGGAGAGGGGTGATGCCACGAGGGTGGGTGTGTGGGGTGCAGGGTGCCTGGCCCTCATAGTCTATACCTCCTGAAATTGAATTACAGGTGTCATCCAGTGAGGCATGCAAACCTGTTTCCAAGCTATGCTCCCAGAAGCTGGCTGTTTTCCATACCCTTCCCAGCCTATGGACCTCATGGAGACTAAACCCCAGCATTCCCAGCCTATGGACCTCATGGAGTCTGAGCCCAGCAGACTGTAAAACTCAACCCAAGTTCTTATGAGTAGGCTGAGGGACTAATGTCATAGTGACACCAAAGGGTTACAGGCTGTGTCATACACAAAGTTGGAGACAGAGAACAGGATGGGTCATTAGCACAATGACCTCTAAGCCTTACTGAAGCCAGCTTAGCGATGCTGATGGCCTCTTTGGGCCAGCCTTTTCTGTCCTGGAAGGGGGGGGGGGTCACACAAGCTTTCACAGACTCCTTCAGCAAGATCTGCCAGGCCTTTCAAAGACCGAGCGGTGCAGTGAGTGCCAAGGGATGAGGATAAAGCATCCTTCCCTCGGAGATGACAGAGATGACTGGCCAAGCATGAATGAGGAGGAGGAGGAGGAGGAGGAAGAAGAAGAAGAAAAAAAGAAAAGAAAGAAAAAAAAAAGACCTGGATGCCCTGGGAAGAGGTGATAAAAATGCACTCCATACCCAGCCCAGAGCAAACGGGCACTGTGACAGTTTTGACTTAGCTTACTCGGTTTTACCTGCAGCAGTTACCTAAGACACACCTCAGAATTACCTGGATTAAAAACAAACATTCCAGAGCACCACAGTCCTCAGAAAACCACCCAGCGCTGGCGGGAATGACAGCAGTGCACACATATTTATCCCCAACAGGCTACCCACTGCATGACACAACAAAGACAAAAGGAATTTTGCAGGCGTGATGAAGTTGAGGATGCAGGATGGTGAGGTAATCCTGGATTATCAGGGTGGGTACATAAGATAATCGCATGAGTTAGCCAGAGTGAAACGGAGACCTGGACAGGGAGAGGGCATGGGAATGACATCCCTAAAGGGAGAGTCACAGTGGAGGTATGGAAGTACCCTGAAGCTTCAGGAAAAAAAGGGGGTGTCTTGGATTCTCTGGATACCTCCAGAGGCACACAGTGCAACTTACTATATAGCCTTGGAAGCCCCACAAGTGAGACTTTTGCCCTTCAGAGCTACAAAAGAATCAATCTGTGCTGTTCCGAGCAACTGTACCTAGGCTTGTTGCAGCAACAAGAGAGAACACGCCGTACTTCTGAAAGCCTCCACGATCTTGACATACCACCCAAGACAGAACACTAAACCTCTACACGGAATGCACTTCAGGGGAGAAGTAAGGCAGGAGCCATCGAGATCATCAACACGCCTTCTATTGGGTGGAGCGGTCTGCCTGGGATCTGCCCAAGGTGACTGTACATAGGGAGATGTGTACACAAGCATGCTCACTGCAGCTGGAGGACAGTAACAAACAAGGGTCATTGGGGGCTGGGGAGATGGTCCTTCAGGTAAGAGGCATACCTGCCCCCAAGCCTGCTGGCCTGAGCAGGATCCCTCAACCCACACGGGTGAAAGACAAGAACCTACTCCCACAAGCTGTTCTCGAACCAGCACATGAGCACCAGGCTGTGTGCACACACACACTAAATAAATGTAATAACCATATTTTGGAAGGGGATCCTTTGGCAGCCTCTAAGGGTGCCCAAGGCAGTTGGGTGGCTAGCTGGGAGAAGAACTGCAAAAAGTGTTTTTGCCTGGCAGTGCCCGCCTTTACTCCAGCATGCACCAGGGAGGCAGAAGCAGGTGGATCTCTCTCTGAGTTCAAGGCCAACCTTGCCTACAAAGCAAGTTCCAGGTCAGTCAGAGCTACACAGAGAAACCCTGTCCTGGAAAAACAAGTGTTTTCAAAGAGAAAGATGCAGAAGACCATGCTCACTGTGTAACTCTTGGTATGAAGTAATTTTGTATGCACACACACATGTGTCTGTGCAGACTGCTCACCTGGCAGTTACAGGGAAAGGGCAGCTCTTCCCCCACTGTATTACCTCAAGGAAGAGATGTCTGCAAACAAACATCAGAAGGAGGGCAGACCCCTAAAAATGCAGAGACCCCCCCCCCCCAGACAAGTCCAGAAACCCAGGCCCTTGACTTCCAACTCCACATCTTGGCCTTTTCCAAAATATTAAGTCTAAATTTCAAAAGCATTTATTCTGCGAATACCATGCGCAAATGTCAGCTGAGATTAGATTCAGCAATAAGGAAGGCAAACACCCTCCACAGTCATCCCTTCATAGCACAGAAGAGCAGCAAGGGCCCCTGTGCAGACTCATTAGCACATCAAACAGATAAACACAATTACAAAGGCCACCTGGCCTAGTAGTTTTAATTGTCAATTTGATACCATCTAGAACTCTAACAGGCGGGAATGCAAATATTCTAAAACACTTTTGTCTTTCACTCTATCAGACTACTGAAACAGGGGTCACCAAAGAAATTGACATTTCCCCAGGAATCTCACACTGGGAGAAGGAAAGGGCGACAGCTGGAGGGGAACCTGTCTCCCTGGAAGATTTGGCACTCTACAGGATGAGACTGAAACCCAAAGATGCATGCATGACAGGTGGGACCATGACTTGACCAGAACTGCTCAGATATGCAAATCCTTGGTCCTTCATGTGAACCTCTATCTCGCCTCAGGACCTCGAAAGCAGAGTTTTGCTGGCTCTTTGTGTCCTTCCCCAACGTGGCTAGTGATTAAATCTTCCTTTTCTGCTTTCCCCTATGATTTGGCCTTTTTATCCCCTCACTGAGGACAAGCAGCCACACCTGACTTGGGGTTACAGGCTGTGACCCCCCCCCCAGCCAAGTTTGGTAACAGTGCCACGTGGAAAAGGGGATTCAGAAAACTGTATGGGAAGGATTTTTTAAATTATACCCATCGATGTGGGAGGCCATGCATGCAGCGAGTGGCACTGTTCCCAGTCAGTGTTCCCGAGGTCTAGGGTCAGCGTCGGGCCCTGGCATGCTGACTCTGCTGCAGTGGGTGGCCCCACACTTGAGTACCTAGACAGCATATGTGGGTTAGGGGAGTTAAGTAAAATGCAGACACAAAGCGATGGAGGGTGGGTGTGGGAGGAGCCACGGGGAGGAGCAAACGGTGACTATAATCAAAATTCCTGACATGGAATTCTCAAAGAAGTCCTAACATATGTACATATGTATATTTATTTAAATAGAAAGGCAGCCAAGCACATGCATGCATTTATCAACTGTTCTCCTTTTCCAACCATGGGTGTGATGCGACCGGCTCCTGTGACTTCCCATGTACGATGAGCTGTAACCTGCGTGCCCAATGAACATATCCTCCCTTAAGTCAGAGAATTTATCTCTGGAAGGAAGGAAGGAAGGAAGGAAGGAAGGAAGGAAGGAAGGAAGGAAGGAAGGAAGGAAGACACCTGGGATCCTGCTACCTCAGTGACTCCCTCTTGAGACTGATTATCAGAATTATCTTCCAGAATTATTGGAAAATTATTGGCCCTCCCCCGCGATAGCTTCCTTTTTAAAAGATATAACCCAGAATGACAGCTACACGCGTACAAATGTCTGTGTGTCGCTAGTGAAGTACACCGTGGACACGGCTGCCGCAAGCTCATTAGTAAGCACAGGGATGGCTGTGGACTTGGTACACGCACGACTCAGCGGACGGGAACTCGAGGGGATGGGAGGGCACGTACGCTGTAACTGGGCAGCTCGCAGCTGTTTCTTGAGCCGCTCTACTTCGTTCTTTAAGAACCTGATATGCCTCATCATGTTCTCGGGAGAGTCGATCTCCATGGAGATGTCTCTGGGCGATGGTGGGGCAGACACAGGCTGGTCTAGTTTCTCCTGTAGGATTCTTCACAGAAAAGGGGGGGAAAAAGAAGCAACAATGAGGAACAGTTTTCGGCAGAAGACTACTCAAGATTCAAGCTGAGAGCCGGCCTGAAAATCGTCCACAGGGCAGATCATTGCCTCTCTGCCCATCCTCAACTACAATTACCAAACAGAAGAATATCACTTCTTTTGTGTTTATTGTGCATTCATGTGCTGGTCCAGGCGCACAAGCGGCACCGGCAGGTGGGGATGAGAGGACATTCCTAGCATGGGTCTTCCCTTCTCCCATTTGCAAAAAGGCCTCTTCTCTGCTGCTAAGCAAGGTAAACTGGCCTGGGCTTCTGGGAATTCTCCTGCCTAAACCTCCCATCTCCCTTTAGGAGCACACTGGGATTACATGCATGGGCTAGTGTGCTCAGCTTTAAGTGGGTACTGGCAATCTGAACTCAAGTCTTCAGGCTTTGTTCAGCCATCATCCCGTTCCTTCTGCTCTTTGAGTGACCCCTGGCGGTCAATCATCACTGTAAAGTATGTAGATCATGTTTCTGGTTACTATGTCTAGAGTCCAGCAAACTAGCTGACAACATGTTAGCAAACTGGCTGTAGAGAATAAAGAAATTCTACTCAGCTGGCTGTTGGTGGTGCACGCCTTTAGTCCCAGCACTGCGGAGATAGAGGCAGGCGGGTCTCTGTGAGTTTGGAGCCAGCTTGTTTTATAAGAGCTAGTTCCAGGACAGGCTCCAAAGCAATACAGAGAAACCCTGCCTTGGGGACACACACACACACACACACACACACACACACACACACACACACACACACACACACAGAACAACAAAAACAAATCTTAAAAAAAAAAAGAAAGAAAAGAAAAAAAGAAAGAAAGAAATTCATTCTACTCTCTTGATGCTCTGGGTGAAATATAGGCACTGCTATGAATTGCCCTGGAGGACAAAGTTACTTAATAAACACTAGAGCTCATCATGGTAAAACCTAAGCAGAAGGTTTGGAAACTGGAGCCAATGATAAAATGTTAAAAATCCAAACCAAGTCAGAATTATTTGGTTAATGGCTGGTGTACCCAATTCCTTACCAATTATCATTATCAGATATAACTTAGAAAAGGCTCAACAACATTTTACCTATAAAATGACCATTTCCTACAGCTAAGTTCAGTAACAATACAATTATATGTACATAAAGCCTCCAATTGCATTCCAAACCAGCAGGCAAACTGCAACACTCTTTAACCACCTTTTATAAGCTGCTGGGGCTCCTGGGGTTTGCTTTATACTTCATTGTTTACCTCTCAGTTTGCCCAACTGCAAACTGACTTACCTGCAGTTCTAACCTAGTTGAGAAAATTAACAGGTAAATATGGTCAAAGTCACAAAATAACTTCACGATTCAATGTATCAGAACTGCTACCACAGTGCTGACTGATTACAACTGGAGGATTTCTCCTAACATAGAGTTCAAATCTTCACTCTTCTTAAGCCCTGTGGTTGGTCTGCTGTTTGTAATTCCATATATGAACTCACAACAGTGTGGAGCAGCACTTTAAAACCTAGGACACAGGCACAGGCTGTTGGGAGACAAACACAGGATTCTGGGGCAGCGAACTGATAATCACCTTAAAAGGAAACTTGCCTTTATCCCACACAAAGCTCCAAGACAACATCTTCCTGCCATTCTTAGAAGCTCTGTCCCTTCCAACCCCAGAGTACAGAGTGATCAAAAAACGAGGACCAAGGCAATCTGCAACAAGGCAATTTAGGAAGCATCCACAGCTGGTGTTGGGTGACACCTTATATCTGTGTATGTACACTGAACACACAAGTATTAAATATCCATAGGTATTTATTTACAGTGGGTTTTAAAGTAAATGGATAGCCATTTTTCTATTAAAAATCCCCCAACTAAGTAAATCCTACAGATGTGCATTAATTAACAGGTGAACTGGGGCACCACGGTTGATCCTGACTTGGCTGTGTAGCAACAAATGAAAAGAACCCCTACTTGAGGGAGGAGAAAAGCCAGGCGCAGAGCGGAGACAGCCATAGCAGTGATCAACATATATTTGGATGCTTGTTAAACAATTCAAATGTCCCAGTGCTATCCTTGTTAAGAGCCAGGAGCCCTCCAAACACACATGCCCTCAACGGGCGGACAGGCATGCAGGCATGCACACAAGCAAGGGCGAGCAAGGCTAAACAAACCTCTTTTCAGCTTCCAGCTTGTCCATCCTCTTCCACAGCCGATTCACCAGCGCCTCTTGTTCTTGCTCCAATGTGTTTTCCAGGTCAATCTTCTCCCGTCTCAACTAGAGGAAAAGGGAACAGCTTCACTGGGAATGCCAGGGCACTGGAGTGAGTACCCTTGACTGGCTCTCCCTGTGGACGTGGACGAGATGAGAGAGCGGGCACAACAGTTTTGGAATGACTGGGCACTAGATCAAACTAGTTCCTATAACTGTAACCACTTCAGCAAGACAGCCAACCCAGCGCTAATTCACCTCCAGCTCAAAAGGCTGCAAAGAGCAAGTAGGTACAATCGCAAACCTTGAGTCAATTATCTGGGTTCAAATCCCAGCTCCACCAATGGTCAGCGGGAAGAAAGGGAAGCTACAGAATGGGAATTCACCATTTGTAAAGGGTAAGTATAACTCTGGGTGATGAGTTTTAAGTGACTTGACTTAGGCATCACTAATAAGTGGCATTTAGAATCTTGAACTCAATATTTGGTTATTTGTTTTATCCTGTTCCAGCCATCTAGGGCTTAACTCCACAGAGGTCCCTATTCTTGCCCCCCCCTTTTTTTTTTTAATACAATGTCAGTATCTTGGTTGTAATAGACAATAGTTTTGTGAGATGTTATTAAATTTCATTCACTTTTTTGGCCAAAATACCTTATTACAAAAATAAGGGGGCTTCACCATGATACCTTTGCACACACAGGTAAAATGCATTGACAGTAAACACAACAGCCCCATCACCCTCCTCTTATCTCCCCCATTCTTGTCTGTTTTGTTCATTAATGAATCCTAAGTGTCTACATTCAGGACTTCAGTAAAAATTATTATTATTATTATATGGACAAGCAGCGAATGAGCCAGGATCATACATCAAACAAAATATTTCATTTGCATGGCGAAATGTGACTTTAAAGAACAACAGCTCAAGGGTACCAAGCAGGGAGGAAGTGGGATCAGGGTACTTCAGAAGTACTTGGTGACACAGCATGGAGCGTCTTGAGGTCCCAGGGTATCTTGACTGGCAGGTATGACTGGCTTTCATCTCCAAAAAATACAAAAATGCTGGGTCATCTGTAATTACCTCCCCTATGCCCTCTTCAGGTTTTGTTTGTTTTAAACTCAGAGTTCCCATAACTGGTATCATCTCACCCACAGACAAATCTCTACGTATCAGGCAGAGTCCCCACTCCAGCCCACCCTCTGCCACAGGGTACTCTGCGGCCCCCAGGACCCACCCATATAGCTGATCAGCACAGAGCTCATTTGAAAAGCTCTCCCTAATTAAGTCTTCCAGTGGCATTGCCCCATGCTTCACCAGTATTCAGCTGCTCTATTCCTCGCTTCGGGGTTAATTAACATCAGACGGAGAGCCCTATTATATTCCCCCATTAAACCCGGAACTTCCTCAGAGGATGAACAGGGTGTGGAAGTGTTCCTGAGTCGTGAGATTCCCCCAGCTTGTCAGGCTTGTGTCTGGGGAGTTCAGAAAGGGCAGGGGGGCCAGCTACACTGTGCCTCCCTCTCTCATTGTTCATTTGCCTATTAGAGCAGGCTGAGAGAACCCGTAAGCCCAGCACTCAGAGGCTGAGATGCACAATAAAATAAAATAGAGGCCTCATACTTGGGAGAGGCAGGGAAAAGGGATGCCCAGTACAACCCAATACAACTCCACTTTCACATCAGGCTCAACTGTGAGGCTCACAAAAGTTCTCCTAATCCACTTTGCAACGGTTTAGTCTCAGCACAATTTCATCAGTACCACTAAGAGAAAATACACTCTGAACTCCAAAGATCAGACCCCCTCAAGTAAAATGTGGAAAGCAGCCTGTTAGAACTCAGACATTACTAATCTATCAGACATTACGAACCTAGGCATCACAAAAGAAGCTGAAGGGAAGACTTCCCTACAAGTGGAACAGACACAAAGTCTATTGGAATGAAGCACCTCTCAAAGTGACCTGGGGACCAACGGGATGGCTCAGTGGACCAAGGTGCTTGCTACCAAGCATGGTAACCCGAGTTTGCTCCTCGGAAACCACAGCACAGAACTGACTTCTACAGACTTTTTGTGTGACCTCTACACACATGCCATGGCACATAGCATCTCCCCACAAATAAATAATTGTAATTTCTTTAAAAAGAGAGGGAAGAAAAAAGCACTAAGCAGGCTGGGAGCTGATTCAGTAGATGAACTACTTACTATGCAAGATTGAGGATGTTCATTTGCATCCCCACTCACTATTCACATGGCGTGAGCAGTCCACCTGTAGTCCCATGCTCTGGCTGGGACAAGCTGGCTGGCTAGACTGACCAAATGAGCAGGTTCCAGACTCAGTGACAGAGCCTACCTCAAAGTGGAATGTGACCAGAGAAGACGCTCCAAGTCCTTTCAGAGAGGTTATAGCTGAAGGTCACACTAGCTCAGCCCACTCCTACCACCAGTGCTTTTAATACCATCTATGACCAGGAGGTGTCCATAGTGCTGACCTACTGGCAGGTCAGAACCACCTGGGAAAATAAAAGCACTGTATTTAGTTAGAAATGGCCAATGCTAATCAGGACTTCACAGTGTGTGGACTTCACCGCTGGAGCTGAGACTGCCAAAGGTCTTGCCTCATTCCATCGCACTTCCCTTCTCTATAAACTAATCCAACCTTTGCATATGCATCAGAAGAAAGTACCTGAGAGGATTCATGAGGGGGACACAGCAGCTGCTGACAGTGCAGAGTAGCCTGGAGGCATACCCTTCACAGATTAAACCTGTCCCTGCAGCCTCTGCTGCTTTCTGGGTGATTACTCTGCCCAGACAATGCTCCGTTTGGCAGGGAATGCCTCTGATTTGGGCCCTTGCCTTCCAGAAAACAATCCTTAAAAAACAAAGCATCCAGTCCATTTGTATTAGTCTAGATTAAGACACTGACACTGGCCCCCACCCTGTTATCTGATCAACCAATCAGCAACTGCTTTCAGAACTAAGGTCCTGAGGTATCCCCTGGGCTCACACATACAAGCTTCGAAGTGCCAACCAATAAAAAGTAAGAGGAGGGGAAGGGTGGCTAACTTTCAAGTCCCAGAGGTTCCAACCATCACTAAAGGTCAGTTATGTACTCTAGAAGATGAAAATGTCTCTGCACTGAGGGGGAATGGGATGGAGGAGTGGGGTGAGTGTGTTGAATGAACTATGTAGCATGATAAACAGTCCACTGGAAGAAATGGTCATCTCTTTTCCATTTCCTGCCTTACCAATTTTTTAAAATGAGCATCTGTTTTTGTCATTAAAAAAAAAAAATTAAAGGCACCTAATGTTAGAAATCTGCAATTTCACAATAGAAACAATCCAGCAATAGCAATCTGGCAATAAATTGGTGTTAATTTATGTGTATTAGGCATCCTTAAGGGGATCAATCACTTCCTACAAGGACAAAGGTGAGAAAAGGCTCACCTCTCTAGGAGCTATCAAGAGAGCCCCAAGTCAAGCTTTATAATACAACCTACATCTCCTAAAAGTAGTTCTTCTAAAACAGTGGTTTTCAACCTGTGGGTCATGACCCCTTGGTGGAGTTTCAAATGGCCCTTTTACAGAGGTCACCGAAGACCATCAGAAAACACAGATATTTACATTATGATTCATAACAGTGGCAAAATTAGTTATGAAGTAGCAACAAAAATAATTTTATGGTTGGGGGTCACCACAACATGAATTTAATAAAGGGTGGCGGCATTCCGAAGGTTGAGAATCATTGTGCTAAAAATCCACCTGCCTCTGCCTCCCAAATGCTGGGATTAAAACCATGGGCCACAGCACCCATTGGGATCTTTGACATCAGTACTCTATTACACAAGCTGGTACACTACTAGTTCATAGCTCTCCAGGACTGTTTTTCCTTTTTGACCAAGTAATTTCTATGATGGGAAGCAGCCTGAAAACCACTGGGCACGTGTCCTTTAGCTATGTTAAAAACTCGGCCGAGGGGCTAGAGAGATGGCTCAATGCTAAAAGCCCTGAGTTCAGTGTCCAGCACCCATACCTGATGGCTCACAACCCCCATGTCGTCAGCTTCAGGGGATCCATAGCCCTATTGAGGCCCCCTCAGTGACTCCACACAAAAGCATGTACACATAAATAACACAGATTTAAATCTAAAAAACAAAAAGCCAGTGGACAAGTCCTTACAGAAACGGACCTGCGACTGTTCATTTACTGTTGGGGGAGGTTTGGCAGTTAAAGGACCACTCAGGAGTTGGTTCTCTGTTCACCATAAGGTCTAGGGCTCAAACTCAGGTCCATCAGGCTTGGTGGCAAGCTCTCTTACCCAGAAGCAATCTTGCTAGCCCTAAAATAATGTTCTTTTAGAAAATAAAACCAAAGAAACTTCTTGAGATGTACTGTATCCAAAATGCAAGTTTCCTTAAAATGAAACCATTTATTATCGCCACAACCCACTGCCCCATGCGGGGTTGAGTTTAGCCATTCATTCATTTTCTGTGAGCACACTGCTCAAAAAAGTCTTCTCTCAGTCAACCAACAGTCAGCAGGATCTCAGCAGGTTCCTGGTACATTTCAAATGATAAGCAGCAATCTCAGGATGGGGGCTCTGGATTTTAAAGCCTTCACCACAGTACCCTAGTGTCACTGATTTGACCCTGAGGGCCTGATCGTTCAGTGTACATCATTGGATGATAAGATATTCATTCACCAGACTGCTGTTAAGGTCCATCATGTAATACCATCATGTAATACCACCTGTGTGAACTGACCCACGTGCAAAATATACGAGGTTAAACAAGGAGGACCACAGTGGAGTTTTTGTACTTAATTGAAATGCTATTGTATCAGAGGCCAGGTGTCCCTTACAAGTGCCACAGGACACATACCTCTCTTAACTGACAGCGGTGCTCAAAGACCTCTCAGTTGACACTGTGACATCCCAGCAGCTCACAATGATGAAACAGATGAAGTGACAGAGCCGTCAAGGCTTCTTGAGAGAAGGTAATGACCCCAGTTCATCTAGACGCAGGCACAAAATCCTACGTATTCTTCAGCATGGTTGGAGTGGGTATGACTCTTG